AATGTATGGCATCACACCCTCGACTTGCTGGAGAACAGCGAACTATGCCTGTCTAAAAGAAACAAGGTCATCTACTGTAACAGATTTCTCCCCGATCGTTCCTTTGCCACGTAGTCTTCCCTCATGATGAGATTCTGGAACTCCGACCCTTTTGATGTCCAGATAATATGTGCAGAACTCAATGGCCTCCTCCATTGACCATCCTTCAACCATGCCCCCTTCTGGCCTGAATCTGTTCCTAACATACCTCCTAAAAACTTTCATCAATCTTTCGAAAGGAAACATCTGATGCAGGTACAATGGGCCAAGCGCTCTAATTTGGTCAACAAGATGAATGAGCAGATGCAATGAGATATCAAAGTAAGTCGGCGGGAAATGCATCCCAAGCCTAACGAGAGTTTCGACTATGTCCCGCTGCAGCTGCTCTAGCGTGGACACATCAATGACCTTTTTTGAGGATACCACGCAGGGCAACAGGGAGCAGCTGAGTCATAATGACATGACAGTCACGGGCCTTCATAGGGCCATAGTTGAACTTGAGTTCTCTCATGTTCACTAGCCTCTTTGGGTTCGCACAGTAGCCCATCGGGACTTTGAGTTCATTGAAGAAAGAAATAAGCGCATGCTTTTCTTCCTTCTTCAATGTCCATGACGCAACCGGAAGTTTGAACTGGCCATTCTCTAGCTCCACAGGATGCAGCTCGTTCCTGATTCCCAAGTGTTGCATGTCCAGGCGTGTGGCTAGTGAATCCTTCGATGGCCCCACGGTGTCCACCAAGGTGTTAAGAGTGTTAGCCCACATGTTTTTAGTGATGTGCATGGGATCAAGACAGTGGCGTACACTCAGAAATGGCCAGTAAGGTAGTTTCTAGAAAACCGATTTTTTCTTCCAAACGCTCCCATCAAGCGCTGCTACTGCATTGTCCCCCATCCCAAGGACGACCTCCAGTTTGTTGAGTTCTCGAAGTATCGCAGGTCCGTCTCGATATTTTGGAGCTAAGCGTTTCTCAATAGTACCGTTGAAATCTTTTCTATTCCTGTGGTAAGGGTGATCCTTAGGTAGGAACCTACGGTGTCCCATATAAACTATCTTTGACTTATTTGGCAGATTTACCGCATCGGTGTCGTCCAAGCACTCGACACATCCAGTATAGCCTTTTGTCTTCTCTCTGGACAACGAACCTCGACCTGGCAGGTCGGTGATTGTAGCGATACGTACTCCCTTAATCGTGACATGTTCCTTTTTGTACTCGACCCAAACATCTGGCACACCCTTTTTAATCATCTCCACTAGTTCATCGATCACTGGTTCAAGAAACACATCGATGTCATTCCCATGCTGTCTTGGCCCTTAGATCAATAGTGGCATCTGGATGTACGACCGCTTCATACAGACCCAAGGTGGAAGGTTGTATATACAGAGCGTCACTGGCCAGGTGCTATGATTGCTTCTAACCTGGTCGAAAGGATTCATCCATTCTGTGCTCAAAGCAAACCAAAGGTGCCTTACCTCTCCACCGATGTCCTTATAGAGCGTAGTATTGACAGTCCTCTAGTCATGCCCATCGGCGGGGTGCCTCATCATTATATCTTTCTTACGCTCTTCGCCATGCCAGCGCAACAGCTTGGCTGACTTTGCACATGCAAACAGCCTATGCACCCAAAGAGCTATAGGGAAATACCAAACGACCTTTATGGGACCTCCTCTGGTCTTGGTACCCTCATCTAACGGCCCTTCCTTGTACCTGGAGCTTCACACTTGGGGTACTTGTCCAAGTCTTTGTATTTTTCTCCATGGTATAATATGCAATCATTGGAACATGCGTGGATTTTTTCAACCTCGAGGCCGATGGGGCAGATCATTTGCTTGGCCAAGTATGTCTTTTCTGGCAACTCATTTTTTTTCTAGGAGCATTTTCCTTATTATACCTAACAACTGATCGAAGCCTTTATCGCTCAATCCGTTTGTCGATTTGAACTCTAACAGCATGATGTCGGCTTCCAGTTTGCTCATTGAACAATTCCTATACAATGGTGTTTTGTCATCTTGTCTCATTTTCTCTAGCTTTCTTAGTTGTCTTTCACTAAGACATTCGGTCTCTACATTACGTAGCAGCTGAGAAATGCCATCGTTATCCTCGGTGTCGTCAGCTAGCGTGTTCCTAAACACATTATTAACTGTTGCCATAGGTTCCGTGTTGACACCGGGTTCCTCGTCAGCATCGTGGATGGCTACGTCAGGCATGTCCACATCATCATCATTTTCCTACAGAATATTCACACCAACCTCACCATGCATAGTCCATATCGTATAGTTAGGCATGAACCCCCTGGTAATCAAGTGCGATCGTATAGACTCAATTTGATGAAAGTTCCTATAATTCTTGCAATCTTTGCATGGTCTGAAGACAGGGTTCCCATTCCCAGCATGGGCTTTGGCATCGGTGATAAACTGGCTGACGCCATGCATGTACCGCTTGTCTGTTTGGGACAGATGCATCCATTGTCGATCCATCCCTGCACAAAAAATGCTGAGATAGTAATTACAAAGAATTAATAAGAAATCGAGCTTCATGAACAACAATTGTACCTCGAAAGTACCATTTTTGGAAAACATTATTATACACTAATTATTGGAAAATTAAAATTGGTAGCCCCGGCCCTATAAATTGAAAATCGTAGTAAAAACAATTATTGCACAATATTGAAGAACAACTATTCTACTCTACTTCTAAGAACTAATTATAGCATCACATACTAACAATGATGATCTTGACCACCATGGAATAATTAGCTAGGAATTTAAATGTGTTCATAGACACCAACCGTTTGGATGATGGATTCACCATAATTTGAGCCTTGCACAAATGTCCAATTGAAAAAGTGCTCTCTAGAATGGAGAAAGAACTAGAATGAGAATCAAGCAATGTAGCCATCAAAACGAAGCTAATTAAGCAACAAAATCAAAGGAGTGGATGTTTGTTACTAACCTTAAAGCAAAAAGATCAAGCCATTCTTCAAAATCCAAGCGCTAGCTTCATGGTGAAGAGCAGCCGCAACAATGGAGGGAAGGGCCCAAATGCGCGCCTCTGTTCTCGGGATAGAAGAGAGGAGGAAGAAGAGGACGTCTGCAGCCTTTTTGTGCTGTAGGCTTATCACCGTCGGTTCTTGGCTAGAACCGACAGTGATATAGCCAAATCACTGCCGGTTTGTGGCTTGAACCGACAGTGAAAAGTGCCCACCAAAACACTGCCGGTTCAAGCCACAAACCGGCAGTGATGTGGTCCTTTACTGCCGGTTTTAGCCCAGCCCCAATCATTTTCTCATTTTCAAGCTCATAACTGGCAGTGAAAGTACATCACTGCCGGTTCTCACAAATTCGACAGTGATGAGGCCGGCAGTGATGTGCAAATCTGGCGTAGTGCCTGTCTTGTTGATGCTTTTGGCATGGGGATGGTGAGGTTATATAGCCTACCACAGAGCATGTGGCGACGTGTACGTATTAATGGCTTAATCACTACGTAAAAAATGATTTTTAGCAACTGGACGAATTTTTTTAGGGGCGGCTGGTGATGGAGCCGCCCCTACAGTGGCACGTTCGGGAGCCCGGACACCAGCCGCCCCTACAAATGGAACAGCAGGGGCGGCTGGTGATACGAGTCGCCCCTACAAATGGGTCAGATTTGTAGGGACGACTCACTCACCAGCCGCCCCGGTATTCTTATTTGTAGGGGCGGCTGGTGATTGTGCCGCCCATACAAATGCCCACCGTACAGTAAGTCACCTCAAAATATCTACTGTCGGTGTTCCTCTCTCTCTCTCTCTCTCCGTCTCCTTCCATCCATCCGTCGCCCCCCATCCTCTCTCTCTCCCGTCGCCACCTCCTCCCCTGTCGCGATGCCCATGGCCACCTCCTCCCCCATTGCGACGCCCGTCGCGCTCGTCGTTTGCTCCCCTGTTCGTGACCTCGTCAACCATGCGCGAAGAGCGCAGCTCCTTCCCTGTCCGCAACAATGGCGCTCTGGATCTCCTCCCCTTGCTCGACGACGGCCCAAATCTGCCCATAGCCGCAGCTCTGAAGGTGGAGCTTCATCTCCTAGGTGAGTGGCTGGCGGACCCTGTCTCCCTCTTCCTAACTCTCCCTCACCCTCACCCTCACCCTCTCCCTCTCCCTCACAGATCGATCCTGGTGGGGCTTCTTCCACAGAGAAACTATAGATCGATCCTGGTCGCCTCGATAGCCTCCTCCGCGCAATCAGGCGAGTTCGCGCGGTCCGTAACGGGGGTCGCAGCGAGCCGTGTTTTTCATCCACGGCGGTGGCGCGACGGGTCCTGATGCGCGGTGGTGGTGTCAGGGTGTGGACACGTCAGAGGTGCCGCCATGCCCAAGCATGATGGCAGTGACGACGCCGAGCTAAGGTAAGAGGTCCCAAGGCCCAAACTTAGTTGAAATTAGGGTTTCCATTTTGAAATTTGGGGTAAAAGGGCGAAAATCATGATCTAGGGTTTCGGGGATTTGGGGGAAAGTTTCAATTTGGCCGTGATTTGCAAATTCTCCTCCTACATGCTAATCCAAACCCTAGTGGCTTAATATGCACCGTCTTCGCATAAGACATCATCAACAGGGGCTGATTAAGGCATGAACTTGGCTTAATGTAGAACATTAAGCATTAAATTAGGCATAAAATGCATTAACCAGTAAATGTACTTCATCAAGTAACCAGAAGCCAGTAGTGGGTACATTTGTAGTGGCTAAACGTGAAATAAACGGTTTATTGTAGAACTTTGGCTTATTGGTGAGCGCAAAGGCCAAGTCAAGCTGTTTAGTTTACTGATAATTAACTAAATGATATACTGAGGAAGTTCAGGGCATCATCTTTTTGATGTTTGTATAGCTAACACACTATAAAAAGTAACGGTCATTTCTTTTTTACCGAAGTTAAACAGCAAGAACCTTGCAAGGATACTAATGTTGGTGTTTGAAATATGTTGTGAATGAAATGGTAGTTAAATCAGTTGGTTGTGAATTTGCACCTGACTGAAAATGGACAGGCTGGGACTGGACTGTTGTTGCCAAAAACGTTCACATTTAAAATTACTAAATAATGGTTTCCAATACCTGTAAATGTTTGCATTGAACTCCTGTTTAAGGAAGGGGTGTTAATAATGTTATGTTGTTATACTTGGCATGGCATGACTTGGTATGGTCCAGCAGTCATTAATCAATACTTTTCTGCTTGTGCCTTATGCAGGTTGGTTTGGATGGAATTCAGATGCTTGATCCCAACACCGGTAGGAGAATATATCCCCTTGAAACTGTAACTAGATGGGATGTAAGTAACTCGTCCTTATGGCACCTTTGTAACTTGTCAGAATTCTAGTATTTCTTTTGTTGATCTTATGGTCTCTGTATCAGGTATTAGATTCCTCTATCTTTGCCTTTTGGTCCAAGAGTTCAGTGGATGTTGAAGCAAAAAGAATAAGGCTGAAATCAAACGCTATACATCCAACACCATTCTTGACACATCACAAATTGCTGATCGTGGTGGTTTTGACATCTGTGTTATCAACGTATTTTTAATCATCCAATAGTTTTTATAATTTGTATTGTTGCACTATATGTGGCTTGCCCAAAATGATTGATGTCTGTTAGCTTCTTTGGACTGCAGTTCAAGGAGATGGGTGGAAGCAGCATTTCAAGAAGTAGAGCAATTGCTGATGTAGCAAAGCCTGCTGAGCAGCAAAACGAGAGGAGGAAAATTTTCCTTGATTGGAGGAATTTAATGAAGCCTATGAATGAGGAGAAAGATCACTGGGTAATTAGTCTCTCTATTTGCTTCTTGCTATCAGTTAAAACCTGTAATTTCTTCATAATTTGCAAAGCTATAGTCAAATTGAGCTCAATGTTTGTTTGTCTCTGTTGCTAATTTGCTATTAGTTTGATTGCGTTGTTGGTTTTGTGTTTGTTCGATAGCATCATAGTGGAGCCTGCCTTCAATACTATTGTCTGCATTCTGCTTTTGATTTCATTTCATACTTATCATGTCACATGCAATATGTGTTTGCACATTTCCTGATTCTTGATTTGTTCATCGACTCACTTTTTTCTAATCAGATACATGTTTTCTCCTTTCTTTCTTACAGGTCCCAGATGAAGCTGTCAGCAAGTGCACAGCATGCGCAGCAGATTTCAGTGCTTTCAACCGCAGGGTAAGAACAGTTATATACTGATCTGTTCTGCTGATGATATCACCTTGCATTTTTTTTAATTTGGCAAACCTATTATATTTTCAGCATCACTGTCGAAACTGTGGTGATATTTTCTGCGATAAGTGCACCCAGGGAAGAACTCCTGAATACAGATGCTGATGCTCAACCAGCTCGAGTTTGTGACAGATGCATGGTAATATTTTCTTTTTCAATCCTTTGCCATTGTGTACCTCTGCTCTTATTTATGTTATGTTAATTATTATTTAGTGCTTTGCTTTATTTTTTATTGAGCTTAGAGAGCTCAAGGCATAAACACTGAAAAACCAAACATGCCACTTGGATAATACAGCCTATACTGTTAATTTATAAGTTGGGCCCAAGATATTTGTATTTGAATAACCACTATATGTTGAGATTGACATTTTATTGCTCCTTTGAGGCACGGAAGCTTTATTGTTCATTCATTTCTTTTCTCTACAAGGAGCTACTGGTTTCTTCGTACTGCACTGTTGGGAAATAAACGAGGGAGTTAGTTTACGCAATTAGTGCATTTTCTTGTAAAAAAAACTGCAGATTTGCACTGATTGGTGGGTTTCTTTTCATCCAATAAAACCCTGTTGTTTTGTCAAGTCTTTAATGGCCTGGTCTGTTTGGAGTGGTCTACGTGGACAACCTGAACATACAATTTCCAATGAGTTATACTAATTTTCGTATCATGCCTTCCTGTTTTCAAAGGCTGAAGTAACGCAAAGACTTAACAATGCAAGGGAAGTGGCGAATCGACCTATTGTTCTGAGCCATGAGGATCTTGGCAAAAAGCTCCAGGTTTGTTAGTTCCTCAGATTTAGGGAAGCTAAAATGATGGACTTTCCAAATGAAGTTACAATTGTATCTAAATTAGACTTGCACCATTGTGTTTCAATCAATTGATACCAGTTGTGACTCAAATACCAACATTAATTCTTGGCATGGAGAAGATAAGTCATGATGGAGTTGTGCATGAAAAATAAATGTTCTGGTCGAATTTGAATTGTAAATTTAATTTTTTTTAGGAAATGATTTAAAATGATTTGTAGGGCGGTTGCTGTAGCCAAATCGATTTGTAGAGGCGGTATGTGTTCCTGCACCGCCCCTATAAATCGATTTGTAGGGCGGTTACTAGATTCAACCGCCTTTACAAATCGATTTGTAAGGATGCTGGAACCGCCTCCTACAAATACATGATTTGTAGAGGCGGTATGGTAGGGCGGCTGGCGAACCGCCCCTACAAATGCAATCAGCCGCCCTTGGAAATCATATTTGACGTAGTGAATAAGTCTTAAGTCGAACCTTTTAGCAGAACTGAAGAAACAGTCTTGGCAGTTGTCTTATATCAACTTCCCACACCTACCTTGCTTTTAATAATTTTTTTCACACGCACCATACGACTAACAAAATCAACGTGCACGGTCTCTTTGCTTGCAGCACAGCATTACGGAAGTGTAGTTTTTGTTTTCTTTTTGTGTTTTTTGGTGTCTGGGTTCAAGCGTACTATCTTTGCTTGTGCTAACATAGGTATAGAAAGAGTCAACTCACAAAAAAATTTACAAATAGTCAACAATGCGAAAGTACATGACCGTCATATAAAATCTTTATTACCTTTTGCACTTCATATAATTATAACTATCCAACAATCTCCATATATTTCGTCATTTGTGACCAGTTGACGAGTCATAGCAGACGACTAACGTTTCCAATGTTTATTTGGTCACCATTTTTTTTGCTTGTGAGAACTGTGGAATTATATATCTGACACCAACATCTGTCGTACACGCTTTACTAGATCAAGCACTTGATTGCTTCGATGCTTGTGCTAACATGCGTATAGAAAGAGTCAAGTCCTCGCTAATAGAAGATAGAAAGAGTCAACAGTGGGGATGCCTCTCTATAACACATGTACAATATCTTTATTTACTTTACACCTTGATCACAACTATTTAATAATCTCCATGTCGTCATTCGTGACCACTAGTTGAGTCATACTCCCTCTGCCCCAAAATAACTGTCGTTCTCGCTTCCTGATAAATAACTTTGACGACTAATTTTATATAAAAAGATATTAATATTTATGATACACAATTAATACCATTAGATAGATCTTTAAATCTATTTTCATAATAAATTTATTTGGAAATACAAATGTTGCTCGTATTTTCTACAAATCTAGTCAAACTTATGCCACGGAAACCCAAAACGACAATTAATTTGGGACGGAGGTAGTATATATCAGAAAGAGTCAACTCCTCATGTTTCCAATGTTTACTTGGTCACCATTTTTTCGGGAGTTAACAAAAATGAATTAATCGAGTGGAATGCTTCCGTACCAAGGCTGGGACAAACTTGGTAAACGCCTAAAGGGTAGCTACCGCACACGCTTTACTATTGAGTTAATCTGGTGAAGCTTCTATATCTATCGGTACAAGACCAAACCGTCATCTGTCCTTCGTGCTTCACCAATGAGGTCATCCCATAAGCTAGCCTGCAGCCTGCTATTGCCACAACATTAGCAAAATGTTATTTTTCTATTCACCAGATCCCAGACTTTTTGATATGACATTGGCCCTTCATTAACGTCTTGCTGCATCTGATAGTGACTTTTTTTCCCATCTGATATGATATTGGCCCTTGATTAACGTTTGAATTTCCAAAAATTTAAAATTTAAATTTTTTAAACGACCTCGGATGGATAAATAGCAAAAACGAAAGTCGTAGATCTCAAAAAAAGCACCGTGACCGTGATCCTGCTTCATCAACCATGTTGAAACAAAAATTTAGGTGCATGGCTAAAGAATCACTGCCGGTCTGTGTTACCAATGGGCAATATATGAAAGCTATCCTATCACAACTGGTTGAGGCTAGGAACCTTATCCCTACCGATTGCAAAGCAGTCATTAGTGATCGGCCAACTGTGATTGTATACTCTGTGATAGTGGCTTATATATGCTAATATGTCAAGTGTACGCCGTAATATTTGGGATGGTTAGTTATGCATTTAAAGATCACCTCAGCGAAGGCCATGGAGCAATAATGGAGATCATACCTGGAAGACATGCAAAAAGTCCAAAGTCGAAGAAGCGCAGACAAGAAGACAAACAAACGGAACTAGACGAGAGTTGCACAGGAGCACCGGATAACTCCTGTGATGCCTCTTTTTACAGGCAATGGAGAAATTAAAAGGGCGGTACATAGAGGTAGGCAAGACAAACACCAACAAAACATTGGTGGTTGCGACCAGGGAGGACCGGAGAAAAGGCTAGGACGATGAAGAAGTCTTTGCAAAAGCTTTTTATAGGCACCGGAATAATCTGGCGATGGATAGAGAGGGCGGCGCCAAAGAAAGTTTTAGGTGAACCGGATTTATTCGGTGGTCACCGGAGAAAGGTCCAATGGTCGGCAACGACTAGCTGACATGGCAGTCACCATAATTCTCCTGGTGGGGTTAGGCTAGTTAGAAAACCGCTTTAGCTCTTGCATTAGGCTTAGTAAAAGAGGTTTGCATACCTGTGAAGCTTAGTCCTCGTGCGTGCACCATTATTGTACCCTAGCGGCTTCTAACCTTGAGATATCACAAGAACCACGTTTATGGTGCGGCCACCTCTGGTGTACCGAAGGAATGAGGCCCATGGTGTTTGAGCCGGAAGCTCGATATTGAAGATGGTAGGGAGGAGTCCACGATAGGCCATCTCGGCCCAGGGACTATCCACGGAGTTATCCAACCGAGATCTTGGCCCATGTGAGGGGCTCCAACGAGTACACTAGGGGAAGCACGAGCTTCTTGATACCTCGAGAATTAAGCACTACTCAGAGGCGGTCCTAAGATAGACCCATCAGTCCAAAAATTCGATTAAGTCGGGGTTTAGAGAAGAGAGAATTAAGCACTACTCAGAGGCGGTCCTAGGCACTGGAGTTTTGCGCTCTCCTCTTTGTCGAGATAAGGCCCGCAAACCTTGTCGTCTTGGCGCTCAACATATCTAACAAACACCAAGTCATTCGAAAAATTGTCCGGCCATTGGCAGGCCAGCGTTGGTGCATGATAGCCACACTACTACAGAAAACTTTACAGAGGCGGGCAAACTGTCCGCCTTAGTGGAAAGGTCTCCAGTAGACGGTCCCATTGCCCGCCTGCGTAAATCGCTATTAACGCAGGCGGCCCTAATGCCCGCCTCTGTAAATCAATCAGGAAAAAGAAAAAAAAGAAAAACCATGGACAAGCCCGCCAAGCCCATCCACACCGCCGAAGCTCGGGCTTCGTCCGTGCGCTGCCGCAAGCTCCGTCCACGCGCCACCGCCATCTCCGTCTAAGCGCCACCGCGCTCCTCGCCATCTCCGTGCCTATCGCCGTTGGATCTAGTGTTGGAGGCCACCGCTGGGGGAGAAGGACGCACGCTGCTGCCGAGATCTGCCTTCTCCCGTCCTCTCCTGCCGTGATCTGCCTCTCTCTCGCTCGATCCGCCCTCCGTCCGCCAGGATCCGCCCTCTCCCGCCTGATCTGGCCTCCGGCCACTGGGATCTCCCCTTCTGTGAGTGTGTGAGAGAGAGAGAGACACGCACCGCCCTTCACGCCAAAGACCGCCATGGAGAGAGCCAATCGCCTTGCCAGGCACGCAGCCCTCATCAGAGGGGCCCTCGCCATCGCCATTGAGAGAAGTGAGGAAGAGAAGAGCTGTAGGGCTCTCGCCATCGAGAGAAGTGATGGAGAGAAGAGAGAGATGTGCGAGAGAAGTGACAGAGACAAAAGAGAGATGCGCGAGTGACAGTCGGGTGAGGGAGGGAGTGCGAGCTGACGGGTGAGATGATGGGCTAGCGTTTGTTGTTTATATAGCACAACTAGTTTCCGGGTTGAGATCGCACTACTACAAAAACGATTTTGCGCAGCATTCCACTTTTGCACTCCGTGGCGGGCTCCTATTTTTGCCCGCCGCGGTAAATCCCACGATTTACCGCGGCGGGCATTTTTTATTTACCGTGGCGAGCATTTTTGCCCGCCACGGTAAATCGATTTACCGTGGCGGACGTCTTAGGACGTCCGCCTCAAAAAATACCCTATTTTCCGAGGCGAACGTCTTAGGACGTCCGCCATGATAAATGGATTTACCATGGCGGGCGTCCTATGTGACCCG